ACTCACAACCTTGGCTGCTTCTTCCTAGGAAGCCCTGGGAGGGTGACAGTGACTTGACGAATGATCACTGTGCTACTTCCCACTGGGCTGCATGCATGGGGGCTCAGCGCCGGATTTAATCTGAGGAAATAAAGAACGTGATACTTCCTTCACTTTATATGTGAGGGGTTTACACTCATTACCACAGTGACAAGGGCCTTTCAAACCAGAATCCTGGGGGCCCCAGTCCACTTCTGGCTGGGAAGAGGTGAGGACTAGCATCTCTTGGGTGCATATGAGGAAACTGAGGCTAAGAGGGCAACTCCCTACAGATCACATAGTGAGGGAGCACAGGGCAGGAGTGGGGCCTAATGCTCTGTCTCCTCACTGGTCCAGGGGTCTCTGAGTCTCAGAGAAACTGAGGCCCCGCCCTCCTGCCCTGGCTCTACTTGGTGTCCAGGGATTAGCGGATTAGCTCAAATCCTTGGGCTCCAGCTAGGCTTATCGGAGGCGCCACTCCGGGGGACCTTGGGGGTGGTTTGGCACTCCGTACCTCCGGCTCTGTTTTGGTCACCACGGATTGCTGATTCTCACCCTGGCTGGCTGCCTGCCTATTTCTCTGCTCCAGTCCAGCGGGTGGGCCGAATGGTGGGCAGGCTGCCAGCCTTGTGCATTGTGGACCTGGAATGGGAGTGGAGGAGCAAAGCTTAGGGGCAACCTTTGCTCTCCTGCAGGATGCTGCCCCAGGAATGAGCCCCTCTGGGCTAGAGCAGGCCCCTGCAGGGCTGAATAGGTTTCCGATGTGGGCCTTGGGTTCGACGGGTTTTCTCTGGGGGCCTGTCCCCTATTCAAGTGCACTGTGAACTGTAGTGTCTAACCCTGGGCCTACTGACCTTGGAGGACAGAGGCTGTGGGGTGTGGGAGGTACATATATGGGGCAGATGAAGGGGGATCTGTGGTGAGTAAAGAGAACCTGATAACCTCCTAGGGGGATGAGCCATATGTAGTGGATACTCATCATGAAGAGCAAGGCTCCCTGTGGACTGAATGCCTACTGGCTCTGCCTTCTCTGCGTGGTCTGCGTGATGGTCTCAGTGGTCTCATGGTGGGAGCGGGCAATCAGTCTGCACCCCAGGGCGCAGCTGGGGCAGAACCCAGGAATCCCGCCCTCCAGTCATGGTTCCACAGTCGGTCCACCCAAATCTATTGGAATCAGAAAACACTGTGGGAGAGGGTGGTGGGAAGAGCATGCACTGTGGGGCCTGGAAGGCCTCGGTTGGTGTTGCAGCTCCACCATGACCCATCGTGTGGCCTTAGGTATTCCCTCCATCTCTCAGTGCCGCAGCTACCTCATCTGTGGGGATGTGCCCTTCCAGAAGAGGAGATGAGGCGATAGGTGGGAACACACTTAAGCATTATAGAATGCTTGTGGACGATGTGAGTGTCTTTCTAGAATACCGAACCCTCAAGAGGTTGGGGACCGTGGAGGGGTGAATGCCACATGAGTGTCCAATAGCAGGAGTTCCCTCCACAGCAGCTCTAACCACAGAAAATGACACTGAGGGTAAAG